AATATTGGGGATCTGGTGATTTGTGTCTATTTACTTGTGTGTCCCAGGGCCCCTTCAAATGCGAGGACCCCTGGGGCGCCGAAGGCGTGGCCGGCTGAGCTTTGGGCGAGTGCGGGAGCTGCGCCCGTCTTACTTCTAGAAGAGGCTGGCCCGAGGCTGCAAGCTGCAGTGCTGCGTGCCTGCGGTCTGTTGGCTGACTTTCGAGGTTCGGGCCAGCTTCAGTGCACTTCGAGATGCCAGCGGCTCCCCAACGGCAAGAGGCACTGGCCTGCAACCGCGGCCGTGAGCTCCACCGAGAGTCGGCTGCGATTCGGGATGTGCCCTGCAGCCCTGGAAAGCTCGGATCCGGGCTGGACTTCGGCTGGAGCGCCTCGGCGTTGCCTCGGCGTTGCAGCACCTGGACAACTGGAGGCCTCACTCGGGCGTTCCGCCTGAAGCGCAGGCGGGGGCGCTCCTGCCAGGAGGCCGGGCACACATGACGTGGCCAGCCTGGGCGAGAGTGGCCGCACGTCTGCTCAGCGCCAGGCACACGCCGAGTCGCCATGAGTGTGCCCGTCCCGCCGCCTCCAGAGGTTCCGCGCATGAGCCCATCCATGTGCCTCCAGTTTCCAGTGTGCCATCCCTTCCTCACTTCGGCACATGCCTCAAACGGGTCGCGTCCCACGGGGAGATTCCCCTGGCCCTCCCCCGCTTCCCCCCGCGCTGCACGCAGTTGCACAGGTCTGGGCCCGCCGCTGGTCAAAGAGAACAGTCTTCGCGGATCGACGCCCCACCAGCCGTCCCTACGAACTCTGCGAGATCGGGTTTCCTTCCCCGCAGGATGCCCTCTTGCCCCCAGATCTCTCTGCGGAGTGCCAGCCGGCAGAGGCTCCAGGCAAGAGCTCGCTGGCGTATCCTAAGCTCTTCGTGCTGCACTGCACACGCTGTGTTCGGTAGCAAATCATAGCAGCCTGGTATACCCTCTTAGATTCCGTCTTTGGCGTCGATTCGCGTCGATTAGCGTCTGGGAGTCGATGAGGTAGCGCCGATTTAGCGTCGACTTAGCGTCGATTAGCGCCGACTTAGCGTCGATTTCGATTAGCGTCGATTAGCGTCGATTAGCGTCGATTCGCAAGAGCCGACAAGGTGGTATGGGAGGCTCCCATGAGTTGCCACCGAAGTTGTGCCCCCTGAGCCATTCCCCCCTGTAGCAGCCCCTGGTGTTCCTTTGTTTTCTTGTGAGCTGTGCGCGGCAGGGCAGACCGCGGCACCCTCGCGCGGATCGGCGCGGGGCGACCGCGCGAGATTCGCATCCTTGCTCCGTGCACGAAGGTGACTCGCCGGTACGCCAGCCAGTGGATGCAGGATTTCGTCTACTACCGCCTCGAGCTCTACCGGCTGATGCAGGCGAGGTCCGCTTCGTTGATTTTGGGCCAGGGTGAGCCCATGATGAGTGCCAACTTTTGTTCTGGCGTGCGTTGCCTCAGAGCTGGCGGCGCACGCACGTCCAGAGGCAGCGTGCACGGTGCAGTGAACCCGGTCTCATTGTTTCCCTCACTGCAGCCTGTTCGGTTCCAGAGCTGCTCGGGACCTGCCGTGAAGTACGTGCTCGCGCCGGCTAATACGCGCACTAAGCAGAGATTCGTATGCACAGCTATCTACATCCTACATACTACGGTCGAGGGAAACAATTAGTAAACACTCCCCCGCCCCCCAAAACTCAAAGTTGGCACGCGCGGGGAAGACTGCGGTCGAAATGCAACTCATCCAACCCACCGCCAACATTGATCATTGGGGGGCATTGACGCATGAATGTGGCATGAGTGTGCGCTAATTTCTTCCGAGGCCCGTAGTGCGACCCCTGGGAATAAAAAACAATTACGGAGCCGCGTGAGGCGAAGCACGGCAACGCGCGCACCGAGGCGCGCTCTGCGGAGGCCTCTTGAGGGGGCTGCTGGGCCCCCTTTTTTTGTTTGGAGTCTGGAGGCTTCTTGGAAGCCTCTCGGGGCCTCTCGGGCGCTTTTGAGGGGCCGTGGGCTCCTGGGGGCAAGTTGGAGGTCTCGGGGGCAATCTTTGTGGGCAAGGAAGGCTCCCAAGGTCCCTTTGCTCTCCCCTCTTGGCCCCCCTGTCGGGCCTTTTGGGGGGGCTTCTCGGCCGTGCAGAGACTCTTGGGCTGTCTTGGGGCCCTCTTAGGAGCCTCTTGGGCCGTCATAGCTCAATGATTCTGGCCTCTTCGGGCCCCCTTGGGAGCTCTCTTGGGCACCTCCCGGGGGTCTCCTGGGCTGTCTTGGGGGCATCTTGGACCGTTTTGGGGCCCTCTTGGTCAGATTTGGGGCCCTCTTGGATAGTCTTCGAGCTCTCTTGGGACCCCCTGGGGCAGTTTTGGGGCTCTCCTGCGGCCAGGGGGCAGGGGGTCCGTGGCCCCCTTGTTTTTTTGGGGGGGTTTTCTTGGGGGCCTCTTCGGCCGTCTTGGGCCGATCTTGGGGGTCTCGTGGGCCGTCCTGGGGGCCCCGAATGGGGGAGAACGCGATCATCTTCGGAAACTCGAAAGAGCGTGTTCTACCGCTGCTGGCGGAAAACCAGGGGGGGTCACTACTGGTTCGAACCCCTCCCCCCCCCCCCTCCGGAAAACCGGGGGGGGTCACTACCGGTTCGAACCCCTCCCCCCCCCCCCAGTTCATCATGAAAAGGGGGGGGGTCACTACCGGTTCGAACCCCCCCCCCCTCGAAAACCGAGTGGGGGTGCGGACAGTGGTGGGGACGGTGTTGGTGGGGACAGTGGTGAGGGGATAGCGGGACAGTGGTGGGGACAGTGGGACAGTGGGACATTGGTGGGGACGGTAGTGGTGGGGACAGTGGTGGGGACAATGGTGGGAACAGGGGGGAACAGTGGACAGTGGTGGTGACGGTGGTGGTGGGGACAGTGGTGTGGGGACAATGGGAATGAGGTGGAAACAGTGGGACAGTGGAGGGTACAATGGTGGTGGGGACAGTGGTGAAGGCGGTGGCGAGGACGGCGGTGGGACAATGGGACAGAGGTACAGTGGGGACAGTGGTGAGGACAGTGGGGACAGTGGTGGGAACAGTGGGACAGCTCAGTGGGACAGCGGAGAAGTCAGAAGGACAGTGGGGACAGTGGGGATAGGCAGTGGTTGGGTCCGTGGAGACAGTGGGGAGAGTGGAACCGTGGTGGGAACAGTGGTGGGAACAGTGGGGACAGTGCGACAGTGGTGGGGGCACTGGTGGGGACAATATGGACGGTAGTGGAACCAGTGGGGACTGGTGGTGAGGACAGTGGTGCTGGGAACAACAGTGGGGGATGTGATGCGAGCGGTGGTAGGGACCGGGAGTCGTTTGCTGGCGGTGCGTGGGGGAGGGGGGTCGAACCGGTAGTGACCCCCCTCCGGTTTTCGAGGGGGGGGGGGGCGCCGGGGTCCAACCTGGTAGTGACACCCCCCGGTTTTTGAGGGATCCGGAGGTCGGGGGGGGGGCGAGGAGGGTGTTCGAACAGTAGTGGACACCCCCGGTTTTCGAGAGGGGAGTGGGGGGGGGGGTGAGGGTTTAGGGGAGGGAGGGTTTAGGGAGGGAGGGGTTTTGCCGGGGGGGGAAAGGGGGGGGGGGGGTTCCAGCAGGGGGGTGGGGGGGATTTTTCGGAGGGGGGAAGACCCCCGGGCTCCGGAGGAAAAGGTTGGCAATTTTCCACAGTAAAGCGGCGGTGGATCACGCTCTCTTCTATCTTGAGGCCCCCCAAACGGTGTGGTGACCACACCGCGAGGTGATGAGTCCGTAGGTATTCGGGGTCACCGCGCGGTTTTGGGACTCGGGTCGTTCTCCGAGGGTGTCTCGGACGACTGAGGCCTCCAGGATCCCAAGACCGTGTGGTGATGGACTGCGCGGTGATGTCGTTGGGGATTCCGAGGACACCACGCGGTCCGTCACCAAACGGTTTAGGGGACCTGAACTGTCGCCCTCTAGGAGGGCACCTACTAAACACATACACCGATCCTGGCCAGGCCCATCCTGGGCCCAGTATCGGTGTATACGCCCTCCGGACTTGGGCAGGAAGGCGTATACACCGGTCCTGGGCCCAGGTTGGGCCTGGCCGGGGTCGGAGCAGTGTAGGTGTATAGTCGGTGCCCTCCGCCCCTTTCGCCTCGTCCTGAAGCCGATTTTGTCCCACTGCTCCTGGGCTTTCCTGCGGCCTCCACCACCACCCCACGCCTCCGCGTGCTGCTCTTCCTTTTGCCTTTTCCTCCGAGGCGGGGATTTATACATACGGTGGGGTGCATTCGTTCAGGAGTGCGCCCAGGAGGCGTCAGACCCTGCAGGATTTCTTGTCTAATGAGGGCGGCAGTGACATGTTCACGATTCGAGTTCCGCTGGCGTCCAGACCCCAGATTCCTCATCCAACGGTTCCCTGTCAATGCCATCACCGTAACCACCGCCTGCGGGATCGACATTCGGGACCTCGGTAGGCAGTAGATACGCAAGGGCTCCCAGGAGGGCGCGAAGTTATTCGCGCTTCGCGCTTCGCCGTCCTCCTTCCTCCTCCCCCTCCTCCTCGTCCTCCTCTTCTCCTTCTGGGAGGGCGGCGCGAGAGCGCGAAGTTATTCGCGCTTCGCGCTTCGCGCAGCGCGAAGCGCGAAGTTGGGAGCCCTAGAGTATACAAGGGCCCTAGGGGCGGTGGTGGTGGCGGCAAATGTATTCGAATTTGCCGCCTGCCGAGGTCCCCGAAGACGATCCTCCGGGCGGTGGTTACGGATAAATTTCCGCCTCGCATTTGCCTCCTCCCAGAGCTCTGAACTCGGCCTCCTGCCCGATCCAGAATCGCGAAACTATTCGTATTGTTCGAGTCATCTTGAAAGATGCTGTCGGTTCTCTGCACTTAACTCGGGCTGTAGGGGGCTGCATGGCTGGTAATCACAGGAATCGATTCAGAGACATCAGTCGCGTCCGCCCCTCGTTTCCCTTCAGTTGTTGCCCTCCCTCTCCCTCTCCCTCCTCTTTGGCGCCCTGCGAGCAGGTGCGGCCGTCTGCATCGTCATGTCTGCAGCCAAGGCCAGCAGCCTGGGACTCACTCCCTTGGTGGGCGGGGGGGGGGGCCCACCCAGACACCCCCTCGCCGCGGAACAAAAAAAACACGACGGGAGCGCTTTTTGCCGATTTGGGAGTCTCCGTGGGCCCTCGACGGGCCGGGATCTTCAGAAAGCGGCTCAGGATGAACGGCCGGTCCTGGGAAAGAGGTCGAGCCTTCTGGCGATCGACGTTGTGGAGCAAATCACGGCGTCCGGTGGGTCTGGGGAGGCCGCAAGGGGAGAGGCAGGTTGCATCCACGTGCCTATCCAGGCAGCCTGTCGCCAAGGCTCCTCCCCTCGCGCTCTCTGCACGAAGGGGTGGCCAGAGTATCGGCCACGGTCGCAGAGCAAGCATGTCGTCAGCATTCGTTGTTGTTTGATGGTTGTCTGCTTGCTATCCGATGTCCCCCTGAAGCAAAAACAGACATCGTCAATGGGACGTTGTTCGGAATCCACACTTCATATTTGCATCGAGAGAGGAGCTACGCCAGCCACGTCCCGCTGTGCTCCTGGCAGTCTGTGCTGCACGTGCTGCTTGGCGACGTGGGGGGAGAGCGGGGCTGAGAAGCAACCAGGCGACGAACGCGCAGGCGGGAGGAATGTGGGAGGGACCCTTTTGCCGGAGGAAGGGGGGAATGATGAAGAGGCGTGCGAATGGGGGGGAGGATTGACACGGTAGGGGGGGCATGGGGGAAGGACGGGGAGGAGGTGGATCAGAGTAAAACCAGGATGCACCAGCGATTCTGCAATACATCTCCCGTCCCACGTCCTTCCTCATAGGTGCCTACATGCAATCCTTTTTCACTGCGGGAAGCGACCACTTGAACGACGACCGCCCCATGGGCTTTTCATTCAGTGGAGAGGCTTTTTGTAGGAACAGCCTTGCATCATAGCCATAGGAAACGTGAAGTGGTAGGGTCGGGCCATCAAAATCCAAGGGAGAGATCAGCGATAGCTCCGTTTTGAAAATGGGGCGCTCTCCATCCATTGTGCCGTCGCACACATGTGCGATTCTGGCCACGACTGATCTAGCGGCCTTCGCGCCATTCCGCGACCATGCCTGAGTCGTGGACAGAGACATCCTTGGGGTCTCTTGGGAGGCCTCCTAGTGGCTTCTTGGCAGCTTCCTCGGAAGTCTCTGAGGACCTCGCGATGGGGTGCCCGGGGACATCTTAGAGCCTCTAATGAGCCTCCTGTGGCCTCTTTGGGTCATTGGGGCCACCTGTTGCTCGAGATGTTAGTTCGGCTTCCCCTGCCTGGGGCCGTCTTCCGGCGAGTGTGTGGCGGCCTCTTGTGCCGAAGCCGTGTAAAACCAAAAGGCTTTCAATGTTTTTGGGCTCCGAGGCCGGCCCCGAGGTTTGTCAAGACGCCCAAGGTGCGCCCAAAGAGGGCCCCAGGATGGGCCATGAGACCATACCAGGCCATGTGCGAAGGGTGGAATCCCAGCAGCGCTCCCAAGGACCCTGACAAAAATCACGCGAGCCGCCCTGGATGCGGGTGGCCCCCCGCTCCCAGGAGCTCACGAAAAGGCGTCCCCCAGGGAAACGCGAGGTCCCGACTGGATGCGCACGGCCCCCCGTTCCGCTGGACCTCCCAGGCCCACGAACTTCGCGGCAGTTGCGTAGTTGCAGAACCCAGCCAGAGGAGGGCTAGGAACAAAATGCGCGCAAAAACTGACACGGATTGCGAAGGCCTTACGGTCGGTGCCACCGACCCTGAAGGGGGACGACGACGACAGCGGCGGCGGCGACGACGACAACGTTGACGTGGGCCAGAGGGATGCTTCTTGGGGTCCCTTCGGAAGGCTCTCGGGGGCCTCTGGGGAGGAACTCTGGGGCCTCTTGGTAGCCTCGTGGGGGCCTCTTGGGAGCCTCTTGTGGCCTCTTCGGGCTTCCTTGGGATCTCTTGTGGGCCTCTTGGGGCCTCTTGGGGACCTCTTGGGGCCTCCTGGGAGCCTCTCGGGCACGCTTTTGGAGCCGTCTGGGGGGCCTCTTGGGCCGTCTTGGAGGCGTTGTGGGGTGTTAGGGGTCCTCTTGGGCTGTGTGGGGGCCCTGTTGGACGTCTTGGGGCGATCTTGGGGGCTTCTTGGCCCCCCCGGGATCCATGACTGTTGTCTCGTGGGGCCCGTCTCGGGAGTGCTCTTGGAGGCTTCTTAGGACGTCTTGGCGGCCTCCTGGGCGTTCTGGAGGGCATGAAGGCGTTTGGGGCCGATTGTTTGGCGATTGGGGGCCCTCTTGGACCGTCTCGGGTGCCTCTTGGGGCTCTCTTTGCCTGTCTTGGTACTTTCTGAGGCCCTGGGGTCCCCGGGGGGGGGGGGGATGCTTGACCCCCCCCCCCTCCTCCTCGGGACGCACCCCCGGCCCCCCAACCTCCATACCTCGCCAGGACCCCCCCCAGCCGGGGAGTGATCACTTCCCTTCGACCCGATTACGACATTACTAGAATTTTCTCTCGCTGACAGGCTGGAGGAGGAGGGCGCAGACGACGACCGACGGAGACGGCGACTCGAACAGACAAGTCCCTCACACACGCTCGCAGGGTCGGGGGATTTCTACTCCTCTCGTCTCTCTGGGCCTTTGGAGCCCATCTGGGTGCTTCGTGGGTCGCATTCAGGGTTACTTGGGCATCTTCGAGTCCTCCGTATGTCGTCTTGGAAATCTTGCCGAGCGGGGGGGGCCCAGGGGGGAGGGGGGGCGTCGGTGACAAAACTGCGCCCCCCCCTTCCCCCCCAAAGGACCGAAAGAGCATCTCAAGCAGCCCGCGCCCGAAGACTCGATGATCGACGCTCGATCTACAAGCCCTGGCTGTCGCCCCCCTCGTCTGGGCGCCAGGGGAACCCTGGCGTGGACGGAGCAGCCTGGCCTCAGAGGCCAGGAACCTCGTCGTGCCCCCGCTCGGGCTCCTCCTGGGGCCGGGGCGCGAGCAGGGGCAGGGACCAGCTGCCAGTCGCCTGAAGACGGGCAGCGCCGTCGTGAGCGGGGCTGGTAGGGGGCCCGGCGGGGAGCGCGGGCGCGGGGAGGGGGGGAGGCGACCATCCGGTCCTTCGCGGCCGCAGGCGTGGACCCCAAGGCGGCATGCTCCCTCGGGGGGAGGGGGGCGGGGGGAGGATCGAGGGTCGAGGCTCGGGGGCCCCCCCGGGCGGCGTGGTGACCACACCGCGCGGGGAGTCCGTGGCGGTTCGGGGTCGCCACGCGGCTTTGGGGCTCGGGCCGTTCTCCGAGGGCGTCTCGGGCGAATTGGGGCCTTCGAGGTCCCAAAACCGTGCGGTGACGGACCGCGCGGTGAGATCGTTGGGGATTCCGAGGCCACCACGGTCCGTCACGACACGGTGTGGGGGCGCCGAGCGGGGATGTATCCATAACCGCCGCCTGGCGGATCGAGCTTCGGGGTCCTCGGCGGGCAGTGGATGTGGATAGATTCGGACCCTGCGGGGGCCAATTTTTTTCCCCAAGCTAGACATATCAACGCAGACGCATGCATACCTGGGGCTGGCAGATGCTAGGCCTGAGCGAGCGCCACTTCGTCAAGCGGCGACACCTTTGTGCGCAGCCGCTTCGTGGGCCGGATGGCCTCCCACGCCGCCGCATTGAGTGGCGGGGGGACGTCTTTCAGAAACCAGTCTCCGTGTCCATATCCGCCGCCCGCCGATGCCCTCGACACTCGATCCCCCAGGCGGCGGTTACGGTGGGGGCCTTCGTTAAGGGATGTGCCCAGGAGGCTTCAGACCCTGGAGGATATCTTATCTGACGACGGCGGTGGCGGCATCCGTGGCCAAGCCTCAATTGGCGTCCCAACGCCTCTTAGGCCCTGGAGTCCTTGTTCAAGGGGTCCTTATCCGATGCCCTCACAGTATGGATGCATCCCCGCCTCGTAGGATCGGGACATGAGGAAGGGGATCGAGATGGAGGTGATCGGGCCGAGGACACCGAGGAGGGTCGAGCGCCGATGGCCGAGGAGGGCCACGCTGCACCTTCGGGGGGGCGTCGCCTGTCTCGAGAATGGAGTTCTGAGTGTGTCCGATGTGGAGTCGTCGCGGATTCGAGCAGGCTTCCACCCGAATTCGGCGCAGGTTCGACGTTCTGAAGGATCTCGGATCGAGGATCGGAGAGCGGGATCGAGGGGGATCGAGGAGGTGGAGGAGGATCGAGGGGTAGGGTAGAGGATCCAGGGCCGATGAGCATCGAGGATCATGGAGCGGGGATCGAGAAAGATCAAGGAGCATCGAGGTTCGAGGGTCGGGGATTGAGGATCAAGGACCGAGGGCCGAGCCTCAAGAAGGAGAGTCGAGGAGTAGGATCGGGGATTTGAGAGTCGAGGAGGATGCTGTATCATCAAGGATCGAGGAATTCAGAAGAACGACATGGATTTGGGAGCGAGGAGCCACTAGGAGGATCGAGGATCGAAGTTGTTGACCCACCCTCATTGGGCCTCTGGAGGCCTCCGCAGATGTCATATTTCCTCTCACCTTTGATTCCGATGCTTTCCTTGCTCTCTTGATTTCCCTGGGGCCACTTTCGAGGCCGGGGGCGTTCGCACAAGCGACTTGGAAATTTGACAGGCTGGTTCTGGGGTCGAGGGTCGAGGTTCTCTGGGATCTACGGACCCCGCGGGTTGGCAGAGATCACGGCGTCGGAGGTTTGTGTGCTGGGTTTGGGCCGACGGGGGAGGGCGGGGAGAGCGGGGAGAGGGAGGAGATGATGGGAATGCGAAGGCTTGGTGGCAGAGCAACGCCAGCGAGTTGGCAAAATCGCCCGGATGCCGCCCCGCGAGCCCTCGTGCGCACTGCAAGCGCGCACAGTCCTCCCGTGCCGGCAAGAGAACGGGGCCTGCAGCATTGGGCGGGGGAGGGTCAAGGAGGGGGGAGCGAAGAGGATGAGAATCGGGGAGGAGGGACGAGGAATGGGTGCGGGAGGAGGGCCAGGGCGAGAAAGCACGCCCTGGCATGGGCGACTGCAGCGTTGCCTCAGCGTTTCCTTCCCGCACTCTGCGATGGATCTGAGGGCCCAGATGTTGCAGCGGGCCGACAGGACATGCAGAACCCCTCGCGATCCTCGACGGTGTCTTCGCTAGCGGCCAGCGCACCTGATGGAGCCTGTCTCTCTCTCTCTCTCTTTCTCCCTCCTTCGCCAGGCAATCGCCCTCCGCGGCCTGGGCTGGGTAGTTGCCCCTCTCCAGAGGTCGCCGCGAGGTCGCGACGATGGAGCGCGGACGAGAGCCTTTCTCGGGCTCTTCCCGCACCTTGGTGCCACGAGAACTTCTCGCACGCGCTTGTCCACGTCCATAGCTGATGACTCCTTCTCATCTGTTGCTCCTCCTCCTCCTCCTCCTCTTTTATGTTGCCCCTCCTCGGTGTTGGGCCTCTTCCCCTTCCCGACCCCGTCGAAGGTGATGGGCCTGGGCCCTGTACCCGCCACCCAGAGGTGCCTTGCCAAGGCTGGGTGGACTGTTGCAGACCTCGACCTCGTGGAGGCCCCCCCCCATCCCCCGCCTCTCCCTTGAGGAGGGAGGGAGGAGGGTGGGATTAAGTGGAGGAGGAGGAGATGGAGGAGAAGGAGGAAGAGAGCATTCGTCGATCTGGGAAAGGTAGCATGAGAAGAAGGATGGTGCGATGTGGGATCAGGTACGGAGAAAGTGTGAGAGGGGGATCCGCGGGGGGAGTCGGGATGATTACTGGGAGGGGCATGAGTAGAAGAAGGTTCAGTCTATCTCGATCTCTCTCTCTCTCTCTCCCCGTTTGTTTTTCCCAACCATCCTGTGGTGTTGGGTCCTCGTTTTGAAGAGACAGCGCCCCGCGTTCCTTCCTTCCCGCTGCCCCCTCCCTCCTCCCATCTTCATCATCATCGTCATCACCCATTTCGGCACACCCCTCACACGTTTCGTGGCCCCATAGGGAGCTCCACCGAAGGCCCCAGTGGCTGCCGTCCGCATGCGTCCCGCACACCCATTTCGGCACACCCCTCACACGTTTCGTGGCCCCATGGGGCTCCACCGAAGGCCCCAGTGGGTGTGCCGCATGCGTCCCGCACACACATTTCGGCACACCCCTCACACGTTTCGTGGCCCCATAGGGAGCTCCACCGAAGGTCCCAGTGGGTGTGCCCGCATGCGTCCCGCACACCCATTTGGCACACCCGTCGTGGCCCCATAGGGAGCTCCACCGAAGGTCCCAGTGGGTGTGCCCGCATGCGTCCCGCACACCCATTTCGGCACACCCCTCACACGTTTCGTGGCCCCATAGGGAGCTCCACCGAAGGCCCAGTGCTGTGCCCGCATGCGTCCCGCACACCCATTTCGGCACACCCCTCACACGTTTCGTGGCCCCATAGGGAGCTCCACCGAAGGTCCCAGTGGGTGTGCCCGCATGCGTCCCGCACACCCATTCGGCACACCCTTCACACGTTTCGTGGCCCCATAGGGAGCTCCACCGAAGGTCCCAGTGGGTGTGCCCGCATGCGTCCCGCACACCCATTTCGGCACACCCCTCACACGTTTCGTGGCCCCATAGGGAGCTCCACCGAAGGTCCCAGTGGGTGTGCCCGCATGCGTCCCGCACACCCATTTCGGCACACCCCTCACACGTTTCGTGGCCCCATAGGGAGCTCCACCGAAGGCCCCAGTGGGTGTGCCGCATGCGTCCCGCACACCCATTTCGGCACACCCCTCACACGTTTCGTGGCCCCATAGGGAGCTCCACCGAAGGTCCCAGTGGGTGCCCGCATGCGTCCCGCACACCCATTTCGGCACACCCCTCACACGTTTCGTGGCCCCATAGGGAGCTCCACCGAAGGTCCCAGTGGGTGTGCCCGCATGCGTCCCGCACACCATTTCGGCACACCCCTCACACGTTTCGTGGCCCCATAGGGAGCTCCACCGAAGGTCCCAGTGGGTGTGCCCGCATGCGTCCCGCACACCCATTTCGGCACACCCCTCACACGTTCCGTGGCCCCATAGGGAGCTCCACCGAAGGTCCCAGTGGGTGTGCCCGCATGCGTCCCGTCGTCTCTCTGCCCAGCGGCAAGAGCCTTGCCCGCTATCAGCCAGCCAGCTAGCTCTTTTTGCTCCGCGCAGTGGACGACCCGCGCGCGTCGCTGGGACCCCTCCGGGGCGACCTGCGCGCGTCGCGGGGACTCCGCGCTGCGCTGCGCCCGCAACCTTGGACTTTTGAGTGCGCGGGCAAAGAGGGAGTAAAGGAAGGGGAGGAAGCGGGCGCGATCCTCGCCGGTGGGCGCGCCGACATTGGCGTCGCGGCGCGCGGGCGATGCCGTCGGGGAGTCCCGGGGAAGCTCCTTGCGGCGGCCACGCCCAGCGTCACGAGTACTCAGAGGCAGACATTGTCAAACTATTGACATTCATACACAATTGCGCCACGCTTTGTCATATTCGCATTCATGCACGTAGACTCGTTCGCACGCAGATTCATTCACAGTCAGACGCACGCGCGCAGATTCACCCGCGCTCAGTCTCCCTACGTACTCAGATCAATCGTTTTCGTTCGCGTTGTGTACCACGCCACTCATGTCGGCACACCCCTAGCACGGTTCGTTGCCTCATAGGGATCGCCACCGAAAAAGTGAATCACTATTGCGGTACTCACACCTGTATATGGTTGGGTCCCTCGTCAGGCTAATGTTTTGTCTCTCTCTCTCTCTCTCAAGCGACCCATCTCTCTATATATATCGTTCTCTCTTTTTCTCTCTCTCTCTCTCTCGTTCTCGTTCTCTATGTCTGTGTTTATGTATGTACCCATGTTTGTTTCCTTTTGTTCTCTCTCTCTCTCTCTCTCCCCCTTCAATCACGATTTCACACTTTCTCCCGCTCTCTCTCTACCTCTTAGTATCTCACTATGTCTCACTTTCTCTCGCTCTCTCGCTCTCTCTCTCTCTCTCTGTGTATTTCTCCACTCTCTCTCACACCATCTCTCTCTTTCTCTCTCTCTCTCTCTCTTTCGCATCTTCCGTTATATTTCTCTTTCTGTCTGCAGATGATTAATCATCGAAGATGTCTGCACGCTGTAGATAGAGTGTGACTCGGGTTCGGTGTCGACCGTGCCCCACATCTCCGACACGGTGCACAGCCAGGAGTGGTTGGACTCAATTGGCACACCTCGATGGTAGCGCAACTGTTAGAAACGACACGAGAAGAAGAGGAATGCTGAGGAAGAGGAAGAGGAAGTGGAGGCACGACTTCACCATTTTTACAACCTCCTGTCATTGCCAACCACGCACGTGGAGAGATGCATTTGCGGCTAGACATCCGTCGTAATCGGCAGCTTGGGCACAGTGCAGCTAGGAGTAGTTCGACTCAACGGGCACAGTGGCACGACAGCGCGAAGGCATAAAGGAGGGGACGAGATGCCGGGCCGAGGCCAGGAGGTGCGTCGCAGCACTTCACCCCGTGCTGTTCCGTGAAGGCCCCCATGGCCCATCGTTGCCCACTAGTCCTTGTTTCTCTTTCTCCCCCTCCGTATATCCTGCTCATTCCCCTCCTGCTGCTGCTTCCTCCCTCGTTATATTATTTCTCCTCGTCGGCTTTAGCCGTCTTGGCTCAAGCTTACCTTCGGCGTACGTTAACCCCTACATAGCTGGGCCCGGTAGACATGGCAGGCCGTCGTATAGTGGTGGTAGCAGGCTTCCTTGGCGTAGCAGCAGGAATCGCTACCGTGTCGCGGGACAGCACAGGCAGCAGGTCGTCAGTAACCAAGGATGCGGACGGCAACGTCACGCACAGCCTGATGATTTGCAACGCCTACGCTAGCCCGAAGTCTTTAGATGTGTACTCCCTCACAAAGGAGATGAAGCTGACAGTGGAGCCCCTGCCATACAAGGGGTGCCGCGAGATGTCGCTCGAGCTGGAGGAGGGCGAGCGCCTGGACTTCAAGGCCGCCGGACTCAGCGTCGGCACCTTCCACTGCGTGGGCCTGCCGAGGACCTCCGCGAAACTGCTGCTGGTCCCGCACCGCCACAGCGTCAGCACCCTGGCGGCGTCCTTCGCCTCGCACGCCTACTCGGACGCGGCGGGCTCTGCGCAGCTTGCGGTGGTCGACGCGTACTCCGGCAGCGCGGTGGGGGGCGTGCAGATCAGGCAGGGCAGGCGGCGGAGCGGCCAGGCCGAGGAGGTGCTCAAGCCGGGCACGGTTCTGGCGCTGGGCTCCGGCGAGTACCAGGTCGAGCTGGAGGACGGCGAGAGCAGGGTGCTCGTCACCGTGCCGGTCACGGTCGGCGCCGAGACCAGGCACGTGGCCCTGCGCGTGGGCGTGGAGGGCAGCTACTCCCAGGAGCTGGTGGTGTTCCCGAACGCGAAGGCGGCCATTATCCACAGCAGCTCGGCCAGGGTGTGCCCTGTCTTGTGGGCCCTGATCGCGGCTGTCGCTTGCTCTCTCGCCCTGGCTTGAGCCGCAGCTGCAGCCTCCTCTCCTCCTCATTTTACCTCGTGCCAGGTCTTGGGGGCAGCTTCTTCAGACAGGGCGCTTTTTCCGTAACACCGGGCCTAGTTCAAACAGGGAGTCATCTGCCGATTTTTCGGAATCGATGAAGGAAGCAGTCGCCAGGTAGTTGATCAGCTAACTTAGGGAACACCCAGAGGAGTTCGGGGAAGGTGGGTGGGTTGGGGGGGATGATGAGGAGCATCAGGAAAATACATAGGATGAGATCAACGATGTTAAGGAGGGGGACGGGGACGGCGAGTATGAAGAGGAGGTGGAGGAGCAGGAGGGGTAGGAGGATGGGTAGGAGAACGGGACGCGAAGGAGACGGAGTATGATCTGAATCATTCGGACAATTGGTGCCAAGGATGGCCAGGACAAGACACATGAGAAGGGTTGGAAGGGGGTGTGGTCGAGCAGGAAGAGGGGAAGGAGGCGGAGGATGAAGAGGAGGGGGTGCAGAGCATGAGCATCAGGATGAGGATGAGGATGAGGATGAGGATGAGGATGAGGATGAGGATGAGGATGCTGATGATCATGATGATGATGATTATGATGATGATCATGATGATGATGATGATGATGATGATGATGATGATGATGATGATGATGATGATGATGATGATGATGATGATGATGATGATGATGATGATGGTGGGGGGAATCTGCCGCGAGCAGCTGGAGATAGAGGATGATGACAGGAACAACAGTGAACCAGTAGGAGCAGAAGTGGGCAGGATGGGCGGGCGGAGCGAGAGGATTGATTGGAAGAGGGAGGACAGAGGTAAGAGATGAGGCATGGGGATGCGCCAGGACGAGAGAGGAAGTGGACGAATAATGAAGTAGGAAGGGGAGGAGGAGAGAGGACGAAAAGGGAGACAGGGGATGGACGAGTCGCGAGGTATCGGAGGAGCAGGGAGGAAGTAGGAGGAGAAAGGAGAAAGGAGGAGGAGGAGGAGCAGAACACGAAGCAGAAGGAGTGTAAATAAGGGTGGAGCAGAACGAGGAGCAGAAGGAGTGTACATAAGGGTCGAGGGGGAAACAGCAGTGGCAGGAGGCGGCAGTTGCAGCAGTGAGGAAGAGGGGGGGAGGCGGAGAATGCGGATAGGAGCATCGGTCTGGGCACTCACACGGCATTATGTTACGCATTAGTTTATGACGGTGTTACGCAAGTTTTGCCCTCTTCCTTCCTCTCCCCCCTTAGATACTCACCTTCACGGCACGGAGTGGCCTCTCTCTCTCTCGATTGCTCATGCGTGTCTTGTGTCACCGCGCGGCGGAGGGCGTGGCAGATCTTTGTTCCAGGTCACCGGGTGATAGAGCGAGTGCTTCGAAAAAACGCGCACGCATGCACGCCTGCACTTATGCAGGCGTGTACGTGCAGATGTGTGCATATGAGCATGCTTGTCCATGCGCGCGAGCGCGCGCGCGAGCGTGTGTGTGTGTGTGTGTGTGTGGATGCGACCATGTCTCTGTGCGTATCGAGTGGCCTTCAAACCACTCCGTCACCGTGCCTGGGTCGGTGGCGGGAGGCGCAGTGGTAGCACTGTCGGGAATCCCGATGCTTAGCAGTGTGTGAGTCTCGAACGTTGCATGCGATCTGTTCGAGATGGTCGTTTGGTAAGGGGGATGCCATGATCGGGGACATGTTGGGTGGGCCTTCTGCGGGGCCGTTGGGTATCCCCTGGGCTGTTTTTGAAGGCCTCTTGGTGGCCTGGTGGAGATCTCGTGGGTGTTAGTGGTGGTAGTAGTGGTGGTGGTTGTAGTGGTGGACGATGTAGCAGCAGTCAAGGTAGTAGCCGTAATAGTACCAGTGGAAGTGGTCATGGAAGTAGTAGTCGCACGAGTGCCGTTAGCGGTGGCAGAAGCAGCAGAGGCAGTAGCAGCGCGGACAAAATTGGACATGCGGCAAATGAGAAACCTCTTGGGTATCTGCAGAGGCGTCTGAGCGGCCTCTTGGGAGCCTTTCGGGGTCCTTTAGGGGCGTTTTGTGGGCCTCCTGGGGCCTTTTAAAGTCTGCTGGTGGTCTCGGGGGCCATCTTGGGGTGGAGGGTACCAGATATATTTCGAGTTCTCCTTCTTTGGGGCTTCGGATGATCTTGAAGCGATATTATGGGTGGGATTCGGGGCCGTATCGGACGCTCCTATGGCAGAAAACAACTTATTGTTAAAAGCGTGCACGGAATGTAAATTTTCGTTCGAATTGATTTGGCCTTTTGGGTGCCTCTTGGGGGCCTCTTGCGCCCTCCTGGGGGCATCTTGGGTTCCTCTTGGAACCTCTAGGGCGTCTCTCGGTGGCCTGCTTGCGGTCTCGGGGGCCATCCGTCTGTGGATGGCTTCAAATGTCAGTTTGGGCCATGGCCCTTTTGGGTGCCTCTTAGGCCAGTCTTGGGGCACGGAGCTGTCTTGGAGCGATATTGCGGGGCCTATCGGACTATCTGGTACGCTCTTATTGCAGAAAGATTAGGTGTGTGGACCGTGTGTGTGTGTGTAGTTGTATCTAAGTGATGGGAGGCAGAGAGATTGTGGAAGGAGGGAGGATAGTGAAAGGGAAGGAGGGAGGGGGAGGAGGGTAGAGGCAGATCCGAAGGACGACGACGATGCAGACGAGGACAACTGCCACGGGGACGACTGCGGCGACGGCGACGGCGAGACGACGGCGACGACGACGACTCTCCGCGCGGAGAGCAGGCCAACGAGGCCTTCGCCGCCCAGGCCCTGGGGGTGAACAGGACGTTGCAGGCGTGGGCTCCCCCGCTCTCTCTGGAGGGGGGGGGGTCCGCGAGCGGTCAGGGTGTCCAAAACGGCCTCCGCGAGGAAGCCAGCATCATTGGTTTTACTAAGGTTTGGGCCCCATTTTTTGCTTCTTGGGGGGGCAACGCTGAAATAACCTCCCCTCTTCTTCGATCGATCTCCTCCAAGATGGCCCCAAGAGGCGCCCATGAGGCCCCAAGAAGTCCCAAGAGGGCCCCAAGATGGCCCCAAGAGGCCCCCACGAGGCCCCCAGGAGACCCCCAAGAAGACCCCAAGCGGCCCCAAGAGGCCCCCCCCCCAAGGCACCCAAGACGCCCCCCCGTCCAGGTCCAGGGGAGGGGGTAGGGGGAGGGGTCAAGACACCCTCCAGATAGCAAGCCGTCTAGCTCACTCCCACCCGCCCTCCCATCACGTAAGTAACACCCGATTCTCAGTATGTTCCGCGGTCGTCTTTTGATGGGCAGCTACTGGGAACCAAAACCGAGCCCATGTGTGCGACGCTGGGGCGAGGTGCGCCACGCGTGCCAGGCGCGCCACGCGCGCCAGGCACCCCTGGGGCCCGAGCGTGCCAGGCACGCCTAGTGCGCCAGATGCTCCCTCCAGCCGCGCCAGGTGCGCCACGTCCGGGGCGCGTGCAGAGTGTGTCAGGTGCGCCTGCGCACGTGACAGCACACATCGGGAAACATGTCGGCCCCCACCATCCCTGTCGAAAACCAATGCCCATCATTTTGTCTGGTGGGCCTGCGCACAGCAGGCCATACGCCACCACCCCCGCCGTCCCTGACAAAAACCACTTGATAATGATCGCGGGGTGGCCGCGCACTATCCACATTTAGCCGCGAGGTGCATTTTGTATTGTGTGTTTGTCAGGGATGGTTGCCCTGCGCGCAGCGGGCAATATGCTCTCACACCCGCCGTCCCTGTCGAAAAACAAAGCAAAGTGCCCGCGGGCCTCACGAACATGCCTCCAGACTTTGCCCCGAATTGTACTGTGTGTTGTTTTTTGAGAGGGATGGTGGGGGGGGGCCGCATCGGGTTGGTTGCGCATGTTCGAATTTGGAGGCAGAGTGCTTTTTGCATTCTTTTGACAGGGATGGGTGGAGGCCCTCATGGTGTGCGCATTGTTCCGGGTTGGCTGCCGGCCGGGCGGGGGAGAGGGTGTTTATTAATAGGGAACAGTGATAAATCCCTTCCCGAAGGGGAAGAAGGGGGTTGGAAGATGAGCCGCTTTAGATCATCTAAGCCCAGAGGGCTGGTGGGATTGCGACATAGATGTTGCAGCCCGTGCTTGCAGCGCTCGGCCTTCGCATGGCCATCTTGCGCGTTGTTTCCGCATGCTGCGCATAATGGATTGGCGTGTATGTGTCCATCACTCCTGGCAGCTTCGCATCCTACTCATCATCCTCCGAGCTACCGCCGCCCTTCCGCGTCCCCCCCTCGTGCCAGATTCCGCCTGAGAAGCTCAACGTGAACGGAGGGGCGATCGCCATCGGCCACCCTATTGGCGCGTCGGGTTGCCGTATCGTCGTGGAGGGCAGGGGGGGTCGCCGAGGTCTGGTATCTGGCAGCCCCTGCTTTTCCTCCTCCTCCTCCTCATCCTCCTCCTATCCCTCTTCTGCTGTATTGTATGTCTTCGTATGCAAGAGCGCTGGTTTGGGAGAGCCGCAGAGGTCGCGCCCTGGGAGTGGAAGGTGAAGCGGCGTCGGAGAGAAAGATAGGATGTTGCATCGCACAGAGCCCCAGACGTTGATGCTTTTGGGGCAGTGGTGGGCTGTGGGATGCAGTGGGCTGCCCTCGATATGGGACAGCCGTGGGAAGTGGGGAGATGAGGGAGCTTGCCTGTCCCGTGCTCCGAGAGTGGACGGAGTGGGGGCCAATGCAAGTGGCGCTGGCGGAAGGAGATGGGGAGCGGGAGAAGGATCATTACGAGCATTGAGAGGAGGAGGGGGAGAAGGAGGAGGAGGAAGAGGAGGAGGAGGAGGAGGAGGATGAGGGGGTGAGGGACGACAGGGACGAGGGTGAGGATGAGGCGGAACAGTATGTGCCAGAATAGGAAGATGAGGAGGAAGTCGACGACGAGGCCGACGGTGAGGAGGAAAGGGAGGAAGAAAGTATAGGGAGGGCGGAAGGGAGGCAGGATGACAAGGAGGACAACCACGACGAGGATGGGGAGGATGAGGCCTGAAGGAGTGGCAGGACCTGCTGTACGAGATGCGCCGCCGCAACGCCTCCCGCGGCCTCGCGACGCTGTGTATCGGCGGAGGGCAGGGCGTGGCTATGGCCTTCGAGCGCTCCCCGGGCAGCAGGCTGTAGGCAGCGTGGCATGAAACTGGAGGTCGGAAAGCGGCGTGGTCTAAAGGGGCGCTGTGCCGATGCTGAAAATGGCAAGGTTATCTACGATAGCCGCCAGTGCGTTGCATCCCGATGTCAACAACACTGGCTTTGCGCCGATCTCTTCAAACAACGGTAGGACTCATGATTCCAACTTCCCCAACCGCCCGCAGTCCTACGTGATCGGCACCACAAGGATATGTTCCAGGACGCCCGTTCACCAAGCGCGCAATTTCGGAAATTCCGATTCGCGAACAGCGTGATTCGGGAGGATCGCAAAAACGTAATTTTGTACATTCCCGAATGGCTACATAGCACTGTCCCAACACAAACCATGGTCCCGTAAATTTCGAAACGACGTTCCAGAACTTCTGGGATCGCAGAAATGAATTCTGGAATTCCAGAATTTCCAGAATCGAGCGCCTGGCGACAGGGCGTCATGGAATGGCCTTTTTCGTCGCCGTTCAGATTGGTGTGTGAAGCGGCCGACGCACAGCAACAGTGTTGGCATCGAAATGCAACGCACTTGCGGCTGTCGTAGGTCACATCGCCGTTTCCAGCATTAGCACGACGCCCCTTTATACTGCGCACCTTTTCGATCCCCCTAGAGAAGGGCGCTCCCTCCCGATCCTCATTCACGTCCTCCCCTCCTCATTTCCCGAGCTCCTCTTCTTACTCCCCGTCTCCCTCCATCCTCCTTTCTCGACTCACACTTTCATACGAACACGCACACGCAAGCACGCGCGCCGCATACGCACATACGCACGCGCGCAGACACGCACAAACGCATACACGCACACGGTCACACGCACACGCGCGCACGGGCGCGCACGCGCGCACGGGCGCACACGCGCGCACGGGCGCACACGCGCACACACGCATTCACGCATACGCGCGCACACGCACACGCTCACACGCGCATTTCCGCGTTCGCATACACACGCACAACCACATACCAACACACACGCTATCTCAGGCGCATCGTGCTTTTCCATACAAGGGCCCCTCCCTCTCAACTTACGCAGCCCCGTCGGAACACGGTGCAACTCCTGCTGGCACATGGCGTCGGCGGCGGCTCGCCACTTGGGTGGTGGTGCTGGCGGTGGCTGTACTTCCTTCGGCAGCGCGGATGTTCTTCCAGTTCCAGCCAATGCGAGTGATGGTAGACAGGACCCCATGCAGCTACCTGGCGGCGACCCCTGGAACCACACGCGGGCGGGAGTGTAGGAGGGCACGCTTACCCCTCGGACGCCACGCGCGCAGGACGACACCTCGAGCGAACGACTTCGAAGCCGCTGACCCTTTGCACGCGGTCAACGCCGCCACCTCTTCCTCCATGAGTTCTTCACGAAGCAGTTGGGCCTCGCGTTGGCCACGCTCAAGGCGGAGGCCATCGCCAATGTCGGAGAGCAGCTCAAGGGCCCATTGGCAGCGACAGTCGGGCAGCAGGCTCAGCAGAATGACCAGCTCAGTGGTGACATCCGCTCCATCAGGGCCACGATCCAGAAGCTGGACGATTCAAACAAGGAGCTCTGCAATCAGGCCACATAACTGTTTCAGCTACTGCGGATGCAACAGGTGCCGATCTCCATCAAGGACTACAAGGACCTTCTGGAATGGGAGCGCGCCGCGGACACCAGCATCGTTGTCGGCGCCCCCGCGGGGAACATCACCGTTGAGCAGCTTCGTCAGGGCACCCAGCCCAGCTTTGACATGTGCGCGCCCGGTTGTGCTCAGTAGGAGATATGTGGCAAGAGCGCTGCCACGATATTCATCGTTCACTTCAGCGGTGACGCCAATGCAGCCGTGCGCAAGGTCCGCCTTCTCTACAGCACGCGCAGACATCCCGGCGGCTCGTAGATCAACGCTGCGGTCAACTACGTACACGGCCAGACCCCCAGTGTCTTCCTCGGACTCGATCTCTCAGCAGAGACCGCCATATGTGAGTACCAGACAGAGACTGGCTCAGATCGGTCGCGAGCTGGCTCCTGATCAACGCTGGCGTGGTGATCGGCAGCAGGGCATCGTGACCTTCCCATTCGATCCACCGTGGTTGGCGCGACTAAGGATCCCTTCGCCAAGCTGCTCTGCAACTGCGACGGCCTGCTCCGCCCGCGGCCTTGACCGAGAAGCCATCAGGCAGCAATTTGAACAGCCATTCCAGACGACATCGGGCACCCAGGACGTCCAGTGGCACATTTAACAGGACGTTGGCCGCGCGGCGAACCAGCGATATACGAGCTGGCATTTCTTTCTCCAACTTGAGTGCGAGGGCTTCGCTATGCGACAGTTCCAGCGCAAATTGAGATTAGATGGTTTGACCAGCGCGCTGCAGTGCTCGACGGTTCTTGCTCGTCAAGAGGAACATGTTTCGCGTGTGGAGCTAGTTCGTTCTCTCCACTTGGGTCGCCAACGGGTGGCTGTCTTCTCATCCCGCCCTGAGCGCGGGACTGGTGGCGCGGCTCTTCTGCTTCCTGCCCCCTCTCCTGCAGTGGCGCAGGGGCCCGCCCTTTGCTGTCGCGCAGAGCTAGTTCCTGGCCGCGCGCGGCGTCTCCTGATCGAGACTCCCGCCAGCTCTGGCGCCGACCGGGCCGACGCTGAGGGGCTGCCCCGACCCTTGGTGAGCATGGTGAACATGTCTGTGGTCTACAACATCCACAATTGCAAGCTCGCCTCCAACCAATTCCAGGAGGCGGCGGGATCATTCCGCGCGGACCTCAGCCCCGCGGAGGCTCAGCCAGCGCGCATCGCTTTCCTGGCCATGGGTGGCTTCAACTTCATGGACGAGGCCCCGCCGGAGATGCAGGCCCCGCCGGTGAACGAGGGGGTTCCTCGAGTGCGGCGTCGCGACCCCGAGCGCGCGAACACTTGGCATACTGACCTCGCGCTGCTGACAGAGGTCGACCCCGAGGTCCCGGCCCGCTGCGCGGAGCAGGCCCGGCCGCGCGCCAGGGTCTGCGAGACCTCCATCGGTTCCCCGCCGCGGATGCCCATTCAACGGCGCGCGAAGGCGGGCGCCCCGCTATTGCCCCAAGAGCTATGGCATCTCGGACCGCGCACGTGTCCACTTTCGACTTGCCGCCCGCGATCCCGAGGAGAACTGGAGCGCGCGGCCCACCCCGCAGCGCGTCTTTGAACGCCCGCTCTTCGACCACTACCTCGGCGTGCTCCTGCGGAACTCCAACTGGGGGGCCTTCCCGCCCGCCGTCCAGCTCAATGAGATTAACCGCCTTCAACGCGAAGCCGCTCGTCTTGATCGCAATGGCCTGGCCGGCGCGAAGGCCCTCCGCGCGGCGGCTGCGCTCGCCGCGCGCAGCGCCATTTCGAGAGCTGTTTGGTGCAACAATTGGAAGGCGGCCACGGCGCTGCGCGCGAGGGCGACTCTTGGGGCTGAGTTCCTAAACATTGCCGGCCAACTGGATATCGCCGCCGCCGACGCGATCGCCCCCCGCAGGAAGCTCGAAGCCTGGCAAGAGGAGCATCCGGATCAGCGAGAGGAGACCATGCACGTTGAAGCTTCCACCAGAGAGTCCGCATGCTGCCCGCTTGAGGCTCCGCAAGGCGCATCGGGCTATCCAGGAGCGCGGCAAGCTCTGGGCCCCAATGGGCACCCGCCTAAATCTGAAGGCAACGCAGGTATTGCACGAACGCTCCATTCAGGTATTGCACGAAGCTGATAGCCGATCTCAGACGCCAATGGCCCCCAGTATGTCAGACCAAACCGAGCCATTCTGAACGTGTTCACCGACGCCCGCTGAAGCGCGCTACCCCGTGCAAGTGGGAAGAGATGGATATGCCTACCCTGGGCAAGATGAAGCGCGTGGCCATCGCCCCAACAACTCGGCCCCTGGGACAGATGGCATTCCTAACATGGCATGGAAGCGTACTCCTGTGGCGGCACAGGTCCTGCTGAACGTCGCCGCCGAGATCATGAATGGCTAGTCAGCGCCGCTCGACTTCAACGAATCGCCATTGATCTTCACTCCCAGATGTTCGGGGCTTGAGGGCCGCCAGACCGCGGCAAGGCTGGCAGGGGCGACGCGACGACTCCCCTCAAAAAGCACAGGCTGCAAGATCGCTGCTGCGGTGGGCAACTTCACGGCGCAGTTGATCGCCGTCAAGGGTGTTCACCGCGCGCAGAAGGGTTTCCCGCCGAAGCGATCCTTCTTTGAGCGCGCGGTCAGGATGGGCGCGCAGCCCCGCGTCGTGGCGACCAACCAGAAGGCCACCGACAGCGACCCCTTGATGGTCATGTTTGACTTTGGCGACGCTTTCCGCTCAATGTGCCAGACCTTCCTCTTCGCGGTGTTGGAGCTAACTGGCTTCGCCGCTGCCGTCTTGAACGCGGTCTCCGCGATGCACTTCTCCCCCCCCCGGCATGGGCCAACTTGAGTGGCAACCGCTAGGTCTTCAGCTGGCTGGCCACGCGAATCTTGCAAGGATGCCTCTGGTCGGGGACGTCGTGGGCGATCGGCGTGGGCCCTTTGATCCGCGACATGTTCCAGCGCGCCCGCCACTTCTAGCAGGCCGTGATCGGAGTCTGCGCGGGCGACGCGGGCGCGCACCCCCCCTGTCCAGACGGTGCAATCCCAGAGCAGTGCATTCTACGCGGCCGAGCACCCGGCACGACTTGTCCTCAAGACGGCGAAATGCAAATTCGCCCCGCTCGCGGGGATTTTCTTTGACCGGCTTCAGTCGCGTATCCGAGCCAATCTGCGCGCCCTCATCCCGCGCTAGAGTGGCATGCATGTCGCCCCGTTGGAGGAGCACCTTTGCGTGCTCCTGGGACCTGCGGCGGGCAATGACATGCAGTGGCAGAAGGTGGGTAAGGTTTGGCAGAGGGTCGCTAACCCGATCGCGGACGACGGTGCGCCAGCGAGTACGTCGCCGATGTTCTACAACCAGCGCGTGGTGCGCAAGGCTTCTTAGCTGAGCCAGTTGCTCTTCTGGTCCGACCACTGCAAAAGTAAAGAACCGCGGGCACTGCACCGCGCGTGCCATCTCCCGCCACAGGCCTTACGCTGCGATGACCTACTGGCTTTCGGGCGCTGGTCACCCCTGAAGGCGACCTCCATCAAGCAATCGAACCTGGCGGCGATGATGCGCAGCTCCGAGGAGAAAATTTCGAACTGGGACCTATGGGTGCGACGTCTGCGCAGGGCGAGTACAGAACACATGGCCTTCGAACATTACGGTACCTTCCTGTTCGCACTCCGCTTCTGGAAAACGCAGCGTCCGCCTTGAACCTCGACGAGGCAGCCTATGGGTGCTAGGGCCTGGAGAAGGTCACGACGGAGGCCTGTGTGAAGGTACTTCGTGAGTGGCGTGAGGAAACGTGCCGTCCTGGCTGCGCGCCCCACCGCCCGCCTCCGTATGCTACACTGTATCATATGTTCCATTGTCTCGTTTCTCCTTCCCGAAGCCTCGCTTCCCTTGACCGTCCTCTCTCGTATCCAGTCCTGAACCCTCCGTGGAATCCGATACAGTGCAGCACAGTTCTAGTGGAGTTCCCTGAGGAAGCTCCTCAAGTCGCTCCCCCCCAGCGGCCCAGCCGGCGCTCTTAAAAACGTGGGCGGGTGGGTGGGCGATGAGCCGTCACATTAACAGGGCCTCGGGGGCCAGAGTTGTACTTATGGTGACCTTCTTTGTGAAATCGAATCGGCCATCGATGTTATGAAAACCTACTCGTGTTGCTTGCACATTTGGCATGTCATTTGCTTTGCATGGCATGTCCGTATTCCGACCCAGCGGGTTTGCTCGAGCGCTATGGTCTGAGTGGAGGTGGGTCCGAAGCGGCTCGCAGACTGGGATTCGAGAGGGTGGCCATTTGGTTCCTTACATACAATATCCAGCAAGGCGGACCCCCGCAGACAGGATGAAGCCGTCAGTGGCCCTCGACAGTTCTTGTGCTGCTAGGACTATACTATTTTATAGACATAGACTGTGCCCGCGTAAGCCTCTGGACCTTGCGGGCGCCTCTGAGTACGAGGGGCAAGCATACGCACATATACACAGATTCTTGCCCAGTTGTGCCCAGGATACCCTTGACGCTCCACGCACGTCGGGACGCGCTCAAACCCTAGTCGTTATTTGAGATCCAGAGGGGTGGAGATGATGATAATGGTAATGATGGTGATCATGATCCTGGTGTTCATGGTGATGCTGTCAATGTTGGTGATGTTGGTCACGATGACGATTGTGATGCTGGTGATGATGATGTGTTGATGGTAATGGCAATGATGAGGGTGACGACGATGATAGACTTGATGATGGTGAAGAAGCAGAGGATGATTAAGAGGAGGAGAGCGCGGAGGAGTAGGACGAAGAAAGGCAGGGATGGGGGACAATGCGGGCGTGGATGATGACGGTGATGAGGCCGATGACGATGACGACGACGATGCTGATGATGACGATGGTGATGAGACTGATGACGCCGATGATGATGGTGGTGATGATGATATGGATGACGATGCCGACGATAGTGATGCTGATGAAGATGCTGATGATGATAATGATGATGATGATGATGATGATGATGATGGTGATGATGATGGTGATGCTGATGATGCTGATGATGCTGATGATGCTGATGCTGATACTGATGCTGCTGATGATGATGCTGATGATGCTGCTGCTGATGATGATGATGGTGAATATGACGCTCAGGGTGGTGTTGCTAATGTTGAGGTTGACGATGCTGATGTCGCCGACAACGATGGTGATGAGGACGAGGAAGTTGCCGACGATGGTGATGGTGGGAGGAGGAGGAGGAGGAACACGAGGAGTAGGGTGGAGGAGAATGACGACGAGAAAGAACGGGGGGCGTTGGAGTTGATGATGGTAGTGGTGGTGATGATGCTGATGCTGGTGATGATGATGAGGATGATGGCGATTATCTGGGCGTTGAGGGTGGCGATGACGATGTCGACGTTGATGTTGCTGATGCTGATATTGATGTTGATGATGTTGATGCCGACGATGACGATGACGATGGTGACGATTGGTGATGGTGATGATGCTGCTGCTGACGACGGTGAGGATGGTGATGATGATGTTGATGTCGATGCAAATGCTGATGCTAATTCTGATAAGGAGAAATAGGAAGAAGAGAACGAGGAGGAGGAGGAGGAGGGAGGCGGTAAAGAAGGAGGATGAGAAAGGTAAATGTGCGAAGGGGGAGGAAAACGAGGAGGACGAGGAGGAGAAACAACAGCAGGGGTGAATGGGGGATGGGGATCGGGGGAGGTGCACGTGGAGGAATGGAAGATGGGGACAGGGGGGATGAGGAGGGGCCACGAGCAGAAGAACGAGAATGTCAGGGAGAGGGGAGCGGATGCGGACGCCCAGCAGTGGGAGGAGGAGAAGAACAGTGAAGAGAAGGTACAGTAGGGGAGGGGAACAAGAGGAGGAAAGGAAGATGAAGAGGGGAAGGGAGGATGAGAGGAGGAGGAGGAGGAGGAGGAGGAGGAGGAGGAGGAGGAGGAGGAAGAGGACCGAGAATGCGGCGGGAATCTCCCACGGTGGCTCATGTCTGCTCCGTGTCCACGAGTCTCTGTGTCATTCTCCGCGCAACGCTTCTTTCCGCCACGCGCGTCACGCAACAGGGACGTCGGCGCCAGAGCAGTTTGGAGGGGACTGTAGGGGAGGGGCCGGAGGGAGGACGAGGAGGATGATTCGGGGGAGGGGTAGCACGGGGAGGACTCACCCTCTTCTTCCTCTGAGGGTACCATGAGCAGGAGGAAAGAGAAGGAGGAGAAGGAGGAGGAAGGAGGAGAAGGAGGAGGACGATGAGTAGCAGGCAGGATGGGATAAGGCAGGAGGGACTTGTGGAGGGAGGGGAGGTGAAAGGAGGAATGGGGAGGGGGAGGGATGGTGGGTGGTGGAAGGATACAGAAGGGTGGGCGGGGATGGGTGGGGGGGGAATGGCAGGAGTCCGAGGGCCCGTGCAGCATCGGAGGGAGGAGGAGAGGGAGGGCAAGCACGGGGAAGGAGGGCGGGGTAGGCAGGGGGCCATGGGGTTGCTCCTCGCGTCCGCCGCCGCTGGCTGGCGGCCGCACCCCTGGCATCGAGCCCTCTGTGCCTCCTCCCCCCCCCTCCCCGCTCTCGCTGCCCTCCTCCAGCTCCGCCCTCCCCCCCTGCCGCCGCTGGCGAACGCAATGCGCGCGCCTTTTGAAGGTTCCCCCGCCCGCAGTTCCGGCGGCTCGCGTAGCTCCTCCGCTCCCTCGGCAGGCATAGGCCGCCGGTGTGATGCAGAAATGGTTCTCGGCGGTGCCCTGCATCTTCTCGTGCTCCGACACGCCGTCGCGAATCAAAGCGATGTGCGCGAGCGAGCGAGTGAGCGAGTGTAGCGAAGCGTGGGTCAAGCTGGTGCTGCGGGGCATGCGTCTCACGCCAACGATTTGTTCGCTGGGTCGACCGATCCAGCTTGTCGGGTTTACCTCTTCTGCCGCGTAATCCCTGCCTCCCTTCGCTCAGCTACGCACGCACAAATTGGACACACAGCCGACGCGTGCACACAATAATTGCGCCAGCGGGCTCTTGTGTCGGATCGGAGCGAACTTGATGTTTGGTTGTGGCTTCACTGGCGCCCCCTCTTCACCGCCCTGTGAGCCGACTCATTGATGGCGAGGCTGCGTGCCATTGTGGTTGGCCTCGTGGGAGCCTCTCTGGGGCCTATTGGAGGCCTCTTGGGTGCCTCTTGGTGGCTTCGCGTGACCTCTTAGAGGCCTCTTGGGGGCCTGCTGACGTTCTCGTGGGCCATCTTCGGAGGACAGGCTCCATCTGTCAGTTCGGGCTCCCCCTCGTGGGCCCCCTTGAAGCCATCTTGGAGGCTTCGGGGGCCACCTTGGAGCGATCCTGAGAGCCTCTTGGGTCGCCTTGGGCGCGCTCGTAAGACCGAGGAGGCGACATTGAATGCTGAGCGCATTCAAAACATCTGGGTGTTTCAAGGATTGGCGTCTCCCAGGCTGGCCCCGAAACCACCCAAGACGGCACAAGAGACCACCAACAGCTGCCGGAAGTGTTCAGGAGGGAAAGAAACACACAGACACAATTAATCGTCGATTCCCAGAAAATATGGGAAAATATGGGAAGTGGTGGGGAAGACAAAAACCCAGAAAACATGGGAAAATATGGGGGATCGTTTTATTTGTGTGTATTTATTTGTGTGTCCTGTGGCCCCTTTAAGTGTGGATTCCCGAACGCGCTCCCGAGGCTCTGGAAAAGTCGCGCGGTTCTGCCTGGGAGAGGCCAGGAGCGCCCTGGAATCGAGGCTCGCGGGGGCCATGCTGGCTCAGCACAGAGAACTCGAAGGGACCCGAGGCCACTCCATGTTGTGCCTAGCCTAGCGCACGATAGCGGATCTTGGTGGGCGCGCGCGGTACAGCGCGAGGAGGAAGCGGAGTATGGGGAGATCGATGACGAGGAGGAGGAGGAGGAGGAGGAGGAGGAGGAGGAGGCGAATCAGCAGGAGGAGGAGGCGGAGGAGGAGGAGGAGGAGGAGGAGGAGGCGAATCAGCAGGAGGAGGAGGAGGAGGAGGAGGCGGAGCAGCAGGAGGCAATGCTATGTCGCCCCGTGGCACAAAAGTGGCGCCCGAGGCAGCCCACAGGGGGCCCGCCCCCCTCTACGGGCCCTTTCCTTCCTCGAGGCGCAGCGTCTTTGTGGTCTTCTGTGGCTTACGGTAGGTTCGCGTCGTGTCGACCGGCGGCGACCCCGCCGCCGACATTCAACGTTGAACGCCGACGGCGGCCCAGAACCGGTCGATGTTGAACGATCGGACGTTGCGGAGACGGCCGATCGTTCAAGGTTGAACGATCCAGCGCGGTGTCAGGAACCAACGCCAGGGTCGACACGGCACGGGCCTGCAGTACTTGTCCCAGCAGAGCAATCAAGAGGGGCTCAGAAAAATGCAAGTACTGCCAGGTGGGCTTTGTTGGGTCTGCGCAGCCCCCTGGTGCCCCAGGTGTCCCATGTGGCCCCGAAGGCCTCCCAGAGTGCCCCCCCCCTCCAGCGCGTGCCTCAGGGGTTCGGGGAGAGCGCGTCGTCCAGCTTGTTGGTCGTCCTCGTCCTTTTGTCAATGTCCTGCTTCTGGTCGCCTTTCCCTTGCTGTCGTCCCTTTTTCCCTCGCCCTCCATGCCTTTCACTCCCGCCGTCGCTACTCTTGGCCACCTTCGTCGTTTGGTCGTCGTCAGTGGCCTTTCTTTGCTCGCCTGCTCTTAGAAGGTTGAATGTCCTTGTGCCGGTCATGTGGTGTCCTGATATCGGTCATGTGGGCTTGATGCTGACGTACATGCTTCATGCACTCGCTCTGGTGACTGTGACATGTCAGTCGTAGCGTGTTTCGTGAAGTTGTGCGCTTTGCCCTTGTTGTATTTTGTTGCACACGTCAGCATGTATCCATGTGCATGTGTGCACGCACGCGAATATAAAGTGCGTGCGTGAACGCGTGAATGGTGTGCACAACCATGCGCGAGTGCACATGTCCAGCTGTGTTTGATTGCGCAGACATGCGCATGCAAACCCACATGTGGATATATTATCATGTGTGCGGGGCTGTGCGCATCCGTTTCGCGTCCTTCAACCTCCTCCCGCCAATCAGGAAGTGCTGGGCGAGAAGCGGCGTCTGGTTGCCGAGGCCCGAGCTGCTGTATTCAAAGCCCTGCCTGCTGTCACGGCACAGGTCTTATCGAATGGACCCAGAATGGACCCACGGACGGAGAGGCATTCTTCAAGGCCACGCGCATACCTTGGCCTCTTGGGGCACCGGTCAAGCTTGGGGAACGATTTGGGCTGCAGGGGGCCATCCTATAGCCAACTTTGGCCCTCTTGGGCTCTCTTGGGGCTACATTCGCGTCCCTCGGGTTGTTCTGGGGCCTTCTGGGAGGGTGTCTGGGCAGCCTGCGTCTCATGGAGCCGTCTTGGGGCAGCTTTGGGCACTGTTGGCCAGATCAGTCGTTTCCCCCCAACAGGTTTTTTTTTTTTTTTTTTTTTTTTTTTTTTTTTTTTTTTTTTTTTTTTTTTTTTTTTTTTTTTTTTTTTTTTATATATATATATTATATATATATATATATATATATATATATATATATATATATATATAAATTAATAATAAAAACAAAACAAATATTAAAAAAAACGCCCGACACGCCTCGCCCGCCCTGCACACCGCGGCCGCCAGGCCCCCAGAGGCCAGGTCGACTCCGGGTATCCTGCCTCGTCCGCCCTGCATGCCGCGACCACCGGGCCCCGAGAGCCCGGGCCGGCCCCGGGGTATCCCGCCCTGCCCGCCGTGTGCTTACCGCGGCCGCCGGGCCCCAGAAGTCCCCGATCGCCCAACGACGGCATTCAGGAGGGGAACAAACACACAGACACAATTCATCCTCGATTCCCAGGAAAATATATGAAAATATGGGAAGTGGGGGGGAAGACAAACACCCAGAACATATGGGAAAATATGGGGAATCTGTTTATTTGTGTGTATTTATTTGTGTGTCCTGGGGCCCCTTCAGGCATAAGGAACAATCGCGTCGATCAGGCGTAAAGAACAGACAACGCCACCAGGGAGGCGTCAGGGCCGTCCAGGCGTCACGACGTCACGTCGCCCACACACATCCGCAGCAGTCAGTGCAGGTGGAGTGCGCCGCAACAACAAGGCATTGAGAATACGCATCGGTGACGTACACCAGCGACCGACGGCACCGCGAACACACATGAAGAGCATTCAAACACCGTGCGGCAGCAGCATACCCTAACAACAGACGCCACGACCATGCACCAACAACAAACATCCATACCAGGCATGCAGAACCTACACCATACACATCTCACATGCACCGGTAACATACGCTCATACCAGGGTAAGCATACTTTTCTGAAGCACGCGCCAATTGCTGACAGCCATACCGCTTACACATCGACGCCACAATGATACACAAAACCAGGTGGCACCCCCAAACACCAACACTCATAGACGACATATATGTATATGCATATATAACATGTACATTCACAACACACGCCCCCGTGTGCTAACACGAATGTGCATCCTCTTCCTTGCCCGGCGGCCGTGGCCACTCGGGCCCAGGCGCGTGGCCGTTTCTGAATATAACGGTGGGGCGCTGGAGCTGGCCCCGGGGCCTGCCCCCCCGGTGCCGCGCCGTGGCGGGCGCGAGAGGAGTATATCCTCCTTGGCGCCCGCCGCGCCAGCGCGCAGGAGGAAGGCGGAAGGGGCCGAGACTGAGGATCGCGGAGGGAGGGCGGTAAGGAGCGGCAGCGTTCCGCACGAGCGTCGGGACGGGAGCCGGGCCGCCAGGCTGGCAGAGTTCCCCTCTCGCCGAGTTCAGAGACGGGCGAAGAAGGTTGGCACGTGGCCATGGGGATCACGGCCAAGATGAAGCTGACGCCCTTGGTCAGGGAGGCCGACGGCACCGCTGGGTTTGTGAGTGGCCACGCTGTCGCGACCAGCTCAGTCAAGCGTCACAACTGCGAGGATGAGCGCGGTTTCGTGCCGTTTTCCGTTCTAGTCTACGAGGACGGCGAGACGCTGTGGTTCCAGAGTATCAGTTCGGTCGTCGAACGCGAGCGCGTTGCCAAGGCCGTGAGCGGCGAGTACCCGAGGACGCTCATGAACATAATCTGGGGCACCTTGCGCCCGTGCCAATACACGTGCTTCGAGTGTCATGGAGCAAGCAGGACAGCATTGCGAATTCTTGGATCTGGCCTGGGACCGGTAGCCTGAAGGCTGGATTGTTCCAGTCGAGGAGCTAGCAGAAGAAGGAGTTTCCAACCCAGCAGACCAATACCATGGCTATTGCCATGGGAACAGACCTCGCGAAACACGAGGACGGTCCAGTGGCACCGAAAGTCCAGTTGGCGAAGATCTACGAGGCCATCCTGAAGGACGACCGCTTGGGGGCTGTAGCGGACTTTACCATTGCCTTCGGTGGTGATAGCCACATCATGGACGGCCCTTTCTCATGCCGAAGGAGTGGGCGCGCTGCGCGGTGTCAGCACAGCTCCTCGAGCCAGGGGGCGCCACTTCTGGAGGGCCACGAGCCAGCGAGCACGAGGCGCGGCCGCTGATGGGCGGGCAACGTCTCCGACGCGTGGGAATATCGCGCCATCCTCTCCCCGTCGCGCCCCGTCATCGCGCAGTGCGACGTGGGGATGGACTCTGTCAGCGAGAGCGCGTAGTGTCATGGCCTGATCGAAAGCGGGCGCACCGGTTTCGCTGTACCCACGCAGGTTCAGGTTTTCGCACTGCACTCCCAGATGATATCCGGACCTCTTCGACCCATTCTTGCATCAGTGTCTCCCGCGTGCGCTTGCTGTCCAGGGCCTGGGTCGAGTTCCTCGGATCTGGGCTCACTCGCCAATTGTGCTCGGGTGTCGCCACCCTCTTCTCGGCCATCCGTCTGTAGTTCCCCATATCCTAAGATGGGGTTCTTGTTTATTCGGACGCCGCCGACTCCAGAGAACCAGAGAGAACACACCTACTCATACACTGATTTATGCATTCGCAGACCTACTCCTACTCATACCTCTTCATGGTCTAACTTACTCAACACACAACATGCAGGCCTACTCATACTCAGACTTACTCATGCTGGGACTACTTCATACCCAGGCGGTTTGCTTGTTTTCATGCCCAACATCCTTGGCTTCCAGAGCAGGTTCTGAGGATGTCTCAGGCGGGGCGCTGGTTTCAGCAGGTAGGACACGGGCCCGTCCGCGGCCAGTTTGTGGGGATGTCTCCGGCGGTTTGCTCGCTTTCATGCCCAACATCCTTGGTTTTCGGAGCAGATTGTGAGGATGTCTCAGGCGGGGCGCTGGTTTCAGCACCCCTTCAAAGGAACCGCCAGGGGGTAGGACACGGGCCCGTTCGCGGCCATTTTGCGGGGATGTCTCAAGCGGTTTGTTCGTTCTCATGCCGGACACCCTTGGCTTTCAGAGCAAATTTTGAGGATGTCTCAGGCGGGCCGCTGGTTTCAGCATCCCCAAGGGGAGCCGCCAGGGGGTAGGACACGGGCCCGTTCGCGGCCATTTTGCGGGGATGTCTCGGGTGGTTTGTTTGTTTTCATGTTGCGAGGAAGGAGATGAGGCGTGCTGCTCCCTTGGCTAAACGCTCGTTTTATAAATCCCACTGCCAACTATCCCAACACATATGCACATTACCACAGGCTGAGGAGGGCGCGGCCTGGCAGCTGAGGAGGGGGAACGAATGGGAGGCTCAAATTCAATCATCTTCAAAGCCCACTCTGACTCATTCTCACTCACTCGCATTAGGATTCACTCGTCTTCGTCGGCCCTGTCGCCCGCGTGGACGCGCTATTATAGTCAAGCGCTCATGAACAGACGCCCACTATGGCATGACTTAAAGCATGAGATGCACATATGGGGAGCTCCACGCAGTGAGTAATGTGTAGTCTTTTTGACGGCAGCCACGCGATTCGTTTTTTCTGCAAGAGATGGCTTTCGTTCATGCGCCCAGCATGCTCGTGCGTCCGCGGCATCGGAGGGCGCGATCGGCTTCCTGGAAGCTGGGTCGCCAGGCCCCCCGGGGAAGACGCCACGCGGTACAATTCCCGCGGTACAATCAATTTTGCGGCGTGGATCGCACCGAAACGGGAATCGCACCGAAACGGGAATCGTAACACCGAGATCCCGACGCGAGCTCAGCACTCGCCACAACGGATTTCCCCTGTTCCGAACCCACGAGATTCTCATGCATCGCGAAGGTCGTACTGAACGATCGCGCGCATTCCGGCGTCGGCGCGCGGACTAATTCGACGGGGGTCGACGTCCGAGGGGCTTGCGCGACCCGGGAGCTGCGCAGAGGGGGCATGCTCGCAAGTTTGGGAGAATCTATCCTCAGAGGGTAGGCGCTAACTTACGGTTGTAGTGGAATCGCTCAAATCCGCCGGAACCAGTCGACATGAAACGCTACAGTCGCCTGCCACGCTCTCCGACCCTGGCACGCATAGAGGCCGCGCTCAGGGACCACCACCTGCGCACCCCTTCTGGTGTCGAGAATGTGCTACGCCTGCCGCGCTTTCCGACCCTGGCACGCAGTGAGGCCGCGGTGAAGGACCACCTGCCCTGGCACGCATAAGGGCCGCGTTGAAAGAAACACCCAATGCGCACCCCCTCTGGTGTCGAGAAAGTGCCACGCCTGCCATGCTTTCCGACCCTGGCACGCATAAGGGCCGCGGAGGGAGAGAGACTGCCCCATGCGCACCCCGTCTGGTGCCGAGAAAGTGGCACGCCTGCCGCGCCATCCGACCCTGGCACGCATAGGGACCGCGGACGCAGACCACCCCCTGCGCACCCCCTCTGGTGTTGAGAAAGTGCCACGCGTTTCAATCTTTCCGACCCTGGCACGTACAGGGGCCGCGGAAAGAGACCACCCCCGCGCACCCCGTCTAGTGTCAAGAAAGTGCCACGCCTGTCACGCTCTCCGACCCTGGCACGCATAAGGGCCGCGGAGGGAGACCACCAACTGCGCACCCCTTCTGGTGTCGAGAAAGTGCCACGCATTTCAATCTCTCCGATCCTGGCACGTACAGGGGCCGCGGAAAGAGACCACCCCCTGCGCACCCCGTCTAGTGTCAAGAAAGTGCCACGCCTGTCACGCTCTCCGACCCTGGCACGCATAAGGGCCGCGGAGGGAGACCACCAACTGCGCACCCCTTCTGGTGTCGAGAAAGTGCCACGCATTTCAATCTCTCCGATCCTGGCACGTACAGGGGCCGCGGAAAGTGACCACCAACTGCGCACCCCTTCTGGTGTCAAGAAAGTGCCACGCCTGTCACGCTCTCCGACCCTGGCACTCATAGGGGCCGCGGAGAGAGACCACCAAGTGCGCACCCCTTCCCGTGTCGAGAAAGTACCTTTCCTTCCATACTCTCCGACCCTGGCACGCATAGAGGCCGCGCTGAGGGACCAGCACATGCGCACCCCCTGAGAAATTGCCATGCTTGCCAATCTTTGTGGCCCTGGCACGCATAGAGGCCGCGGAAAGAGACCATCCCCTGCGCACCCCCTCTAGTGTCACGCAAGTGCCACGCCTGTCACGCTCTCCGACCCTGGCACGCATAGGGGCCGCGGTAAGATACCACCCCTTGCGCACCCCTCCTATGTCGAGAATATGCCGCGCCCGCCTGCTATGCCTTGGACGACAAGACGCACATAGCCGCCGCGCTCAAAGGCCCCCCCTTCCGCACCACCCATGACGTCGAGAAAATGCAAGCGTGTGTGTGTGTGTGTGCTGTCAGCGCTAGTGCAGGTGAGAAGCAACAGGGGAGGGAGGAGTGAGTAAGACGCGGGTGGGACGTGGGTGTGGAGAGCACCAGAACCCGACGAAGCATTGGAGGAATTTTGAGAAAGTATCCGGCGGGAACCGTTGTAGTTATTGTTGTGAATGGCCGTTCGGCCCCCGCTTTCTGACCATACTTCAATCACAGACATCAATCCCAGACATATTCATACCGTGCACCAGTAATCCACACCAGTGAGCTACACTAGTAGCCTACATTTTGATAGGCTGAAAGCGCCTTGGTGGAAATGGCTCGAAACATGCTATAATGTTGCCTGTATTGTTTTCTCGACCAAGGGGGCGTACGACACAAGTCGCTGTTAGGTTCGGTTTGGATGTGCGCGACTTGTCTGCCACACATGTTTCACTCCAAAGTCTAGTTCCTGCCCTCGGCAGGACTACCCATGTCGTCATGCCAGGTACCTACCCCGACCCCGGCACAACCTTCTAGTGCTACCATCACATATCCATCTTGGGCGCTCTGTTTTTGCGCGGACTTCTCGAGTCCTCAGATACCTCTGGCTACCCCTGAGACCTTTTAGCACTTCTGAGGCTTTCACATTCTTCTGGAGACTTCGGGAAGTTGCCCGCAGGGGCACGAAGATGGTCGCGTTTCGCGTGACGCGGTCTGGGCTGGATAGGAGAATCGCTTCCTCTCCAGAGAGGCCGTGCGAGAACGCGAGCAGAGTCGAGCTTCGCGCAACGCGAAGCACGAAATCAGGTGGCTTCATTTGCTCCTTCCCTGCCTTTCTCCCCCCTGCGCCCCCCTTCCTCCGTCCCTTCCCTTCCTCCCTGCCTGGCTTCCCTCCCTTGGCTCCCTCTCTCCCTCTCTCCCTTCCCTTCTTCCCTTGTTTCCCTTCCTCCCCTGCCCTCCCCTGCCCTCCCTCCCCCTCTACGTCCCCGGCGGTGGGGCAGAGGCGTCGGGGAATGGTCTCAGGCCAGGGCTGCTTTTGGCTTCGACGGGGATTCTGAGCTGTTTTTGTTCCTGGCGCCCGAAGGCGGTCCTCCTCACACCTAGGAGGAAATTGAGAAACTGGCAAATGCGCACGCATTTGCTGAAGACGCCTCTCATGACCTGTAGATCGTGTTACTGGGAGGCTCACTGCTTCTCTTACGGGCTGATTCAGAGGGGGGTAGGAGAAGGCGGGGAGGAAGGAGGACCAGTGGGGATCGGCGAACATATTGTGATCGCCCTGGGCCCCGCCGCAGTCCGCACAGACGTGAGCTCGATCCTCTTGACAAGTCCGCAACCTCACACTGAAAGATGATCATTGTGATGAGGAGGGAGGAGGGAGGAGGGAGCAGGGAGCAGGGAGGAGGAGGAGGGAGGAAGAGGGAGGAGGGAGGAGGAGGGAGGAGGAGGACTAGAAGGAGGAGGAGGAGGAGGAGGAGGGAGGAGGAGGGAGGGAGGAGGAGGAGGAGGAGGAGGAGGAGGAGGAAAGATGCAAGGATCACTGCTGCCTCAGCTGCCCTGTGGCCCCTGTTCCCCGACCGCGCACCCCGTGCCCACCGAGAAAGGAGCACTGAGCTCCCGGGCCGGGCTGTGACATCGAGCCCCTCCCCCCCCCTCGTGCTCCTCGCTCCTCCTCCTCCTCTCCTCCTCCTCCTCCTCCTCCTTCCTCCTCCCCTCCTCCTCCTCCTCCTCCTCCTCCTCCTCCTCCTCCTCCTCTCCTCCTCCTCCTCCCCTCCTCCCCTCCTCCTCCTCCTCCTCGCTCCTCCTCCTCCTCCTCCTCCTCCTCCCTCCCTCCTCCTCCTCCTCCTCCTCCTCCTCCTCCTCCTCCTCCTCCTCCTCCCTCCTCCTCCAAGGGGCCCCCAAGGTCCCGGCTCCTCGTGCTCCTTATCGTCATCGTCGTCGTCCTTTTCTGTCTCCAGTGCGTGGGCCACAAACATGAGTGCCCAGTGTATCGCAAGCCCTCCTTCCTCCTCTTCCTCCGCTTGGCAAGCCGTCTTCTGCCTCACAGTCAGGCGCTTCGTTTTCTGCTTCAGTCGTGAAGCGCGCCGCTCTTCTGTTATGCTCGTCGCAATTTCCGCAAAGAGTTGCCAATCGCGCTACGCGTCCTTCTCGATGCTAGGCTCAGTGGCCGTGCCATATCGTAAGTGCTGCTTCGCGCCTGGCCGCCTTGCAGAGCTCTTCTGCACCGGGTGAGCTCAGCTCGCTCTGTGCCCGCGCGCGCCCGCGCACCAGTCCCCCCCTCCTGCGGAGAGAGCCGACGCCACCCTCCGAGAGGCCCTCGACGAGAGCCAGACGGTGTGGCAGGGCCTCATGGTCCACACCAAGCACAAGCGTCGCTCCGCCCTGCACGGTGTGCGAGTTCTGCTTGCCCAAGGGGGGTCTCCATTTCTGTTCCCCACATCCAAACTGGGGTTCTTGTTTTCTCTGCACCCCTCCATGCAGGATCTCTCCTCCACACTCCTCCTCCTTCTCCTCCTCATTACCATCACCATCACAATCATCATCACACTGACCATCACCACCACCACCATCAGCATCATCAACAACAACATTATCATCATCACCATCGTCATCACCATCATCATCGGCATCATCATGCATTCACTCACACTCACACGCTCACGTACTCACCATGAGGGAAGTCTCAAGCTGGAGCCCCCTTCCTATGGGACCGCACTTCATGTTGGTAATCTGGGCGGGTCTTCGGAATCATCTACCATGCATAGTTCTTGAGCACCTCAAGGGGACACATCGTGAGGATGTCTCGAGCGGGGGCCTCGCTTGTCAGTGAAATGCGAGGAAGTCCCAGGCTGGAGCCCCCTCCCCATGGTGCCCGCAGCTCATGTTGGTAATCTGAACGGGTCATCGGGATCATTTACCAGGCAAAACATTTGAGCACTCCAAGGGAGCAATCGTGAGGATGTCTCGAGCGGGGACCTCGCTTGTGAGTGAAATGCGTGGAAGTCTCAGGCGGGAGCCCCCTCCTTATGGGGCCTGGGCTTCATGTTGGTAATCTGAGCGGGTCATCGGGATCATCTGCCAGGCATAGCACTTGAGCACCCCAAGGGAGCGTCTCGAGCGGCGGCTTTGTTTGTGAGTGAAATACTTGGGCCTCTCAGGTGGGAGACCCCTTCCTATGGGGCCCGCGCTTCATGTTGGTAACCCGAGCGGGTCATCGGCAACACCGACCAGACACAGCACTTGAGCGCCCCAAGGGGGCAAATCGTGAGGATACCTCCAGCGAGAGCTTCGTCTGTGAGTGATATTCGAAGAAGTCTCAGGTGGGAGCCCTCTCCCTATGGGGCACGCCCTTCATGTTTGCAGCCCGAGCGGGTCATCGGCAAACTCTACCAGGCATAATACTTGAGTGCAGCTGACCACATGGCCGAAGTCCCGAGCGGGAGCTTCGTCTGTGAGTGAAACGCGAAGAAGAAGAAGTTGTTTGCCCCTCGGGTCCCCGCACCTCATATTGGCAGTACGAGCGGTTTTCGGAAACCTTGTAATTGTCGTCAGTTTTGGGCCCCCCCATGTTTGAAGAGAGCGGGAGCCTCGCCTGTGAGAGAATCTGCGAGGAAGTCTCGAGCGGGAGCTTCCCCATATGGGGTCCCCAACTCCACATTCGAATCCCAGCGGGTCATCTGAAGCCGTTAACCGTCGTCACTTTTGGTCTCTTCAGGCTTGACCCTGGAGGAAGGTTCGAGCGGGAGCCTCGTCTGCGAGTGAATTGCGAGGAAGTCCCAAGCGGAAGCCCTTTCCGTACTGGCCCTGCAGCTCATCTCACCAATCCGAACGGGTCTTTGGGATTTTGTAAGTGTTGTTTGTCATGTTTAGGCGCCTCAGGAACGAGGCTTGGTACTAAGGCTCCCAAGCGCGGGTTCCTTTGAACCATGTTCCTGTCGCTGCCAAGGCTGAGCGCGGCCGCGACTAGCTCCAGACCTGCGGGGTTGTCCCAACGGCTTGCTCCCGCGCCCCAGCGGCTCGCGGGGTTGTCTCGACGGCCTGGCCCGCGGGGTTGCCCCAACGGCTTCGCGATCCGGCCATCGGGGAACGCGCTCTTTTCTGGCCGTGGCGGCGGCGGTGCCGAGGAAAATCGACATGCGTGCCCTGGCCGGAAGGAAGGAGAGGTGCATGAAGAGGACATGCGGGATGGAGATGAGGAGAGAGAGAGGAAGAGGAAGAGGAATCGAGGAGGAGAAGGATGATAAGGAGGTGGAAGAAACGGACGAATACGATGATGATGAGAAGACATGAGCCGAGGACGACGAAAAGGAGGAGGGGACAGAGGATGACGAAAAGGAGGAGGAGGCGCAACAGAGGGCGGGAGGAGGGCTTCTGCCAGGGCGAGGAGGAAGAAACGAGGGGCAAGCTAAACAGATTCTCGTGCGGGGTTACTCCGTCGGAGTAGTGTTCGTTGTAGTGCCTCTTTGGAGCGGTACGGGAAATCAGACGCACCGTGGGAAGTTGTCAGAATCTCTGCCTGAAGGTACCCGGCGCGTCGCGGAGTTTAGTTTTGGCTCGCGTTGGAAATGAGGGGTTTCCAGGGTGCTCCGCGAAAAAGGCACGAGTTTCAAAACACAATTTTATGGAGGTCCGCGCGGATCTTTTGGGGCGGCTCGGGGAGGGCCCCCTCTGGCGACACTTTTGCCGCCGCCCCTGGCGCGTTCCGAAGGGGGTCCAGCGCCGATCCACGAGATCCGCGCGCGGACCTTCGACAGTTTCCCGGTATGCCACTGCCCACCTCTCGCACGCGCGGCGCTGCCCCATCGCAGGCCCCACCAACGAGTCTCTGGAAAGCTCGCGGGGTGTCCCAGATGGCAGCGGCGAGATCTTGAAATGGTCTTTGGCGATCTCGGGCCAGGGGGCGTTCGATGAGCCTTACAGAGGCAGTTGACGCTTCAACAACCCGGATCGATGAAAGTCCCCCCTCGTCCTTTGACCTGGGAGGCTGTGATTTAGGAGGCTCGAAAGTTGGATTGTGCCGGCTCGCCCAGTGAGGAACAGCGGGCCTATTGAGTCACCGACGGGGGTTCCATAGTGGCCGAACGTATGACGCGAAGCTTCTGTGGTCGTACATGCAAGGCTTTGTAATGGCAGGCAGGTCGTCTGGGCTGCTGCCGGCAAAAATGCAGACTACAATGTTGATGGTGTTGACGATGCTGCCGAGCAACCGAGTGCCTCGGAAAATAAAGCATTCCCCCCTGTAGCCCCTGATAGTTGAATATCCCGGGCCAGAAGAGAGTTGGTCGTGAGAGGGGGCGGCGAGACCGAACTTCACTGTAGCCGGGGAAATGCGAATCGGCACCGCGATATTCTTATGTTGACTAACGTATGATGCATCCTACGTCCTACATCCCACCTCAAATAACTACGACTACTACTACCACCTCCATTACTATTACTACTCTTACTACTGCTACTACAACAACAACTACTACTACTACGATTACGATTACGACTACGACTACGACTACGACGACTACTACTACTACTACTGCTACTACTACTACTACTACTACTGCTGCTACTACTACTACTACTATTATTTCTTTTACTACTATTACTACTACTACTATTAATACTAATATTACTACTACTACTACTTCTATTACTACTACCACTACTACTACTACTACTACTACTACTACTACTACTACTACTACTACTACTACTACTACTACTACTACTACTACTACTACTACTACTACTACTACTACTACTACTACTACTACTACTACTACTACTACTACTACTACTCG